GCAATGCAAGTTAATGTCTATTGTTGCCACATGCTCATCTAGGGGGAGAGTGTCCTGCATTTAGCTGTTTTCCCTTAGATAAAAAAAAACGTAACAACTCTCAATGTAGGATCTAATTGGATTGGCTCTCTAAAGTGCCTTTAGATGACGCGTTCGGAATTGGCAGAATATAAATAAACTGAATTGAATCAAAACTTTGAGTAAGATTTATTAACAGCTGCTTGCTCTCCAAATGTGTCTATCTCTCCTTGGCACTTCCTAAGCTGCATAATACAGTTATGAGGCCATTTGGCTATAGATTTAGATTTTAGATACAGTTAATTACCTTTGGTGGACTTTCAGATCCAGGGTATTCTCGCTGGTCTAGTTTGTTCCATCGCTGCATGAGCTTTATGACGATAGGTCTGCTGAAGTCCACCAGCTGGAAACCAGTAACATTGGCACCACCGTGCATGAATCTCTCCAAGGAAATATCCTTAAATCCCTGAAGGAATGAGCATAGGAAGATAGAGATCAAAAGAGGAATACAAATAGAACATAACAGATCAGAAGAAAAAGTTTCAGTAACTGTACAAACTCTTTATATATATTTAATGAAAGATTGTTTTATACAATAAACAAAGAATCAGTTCCACAGCCCCAAATGTGATGAAATGGTACTGTAAGAGGCAAGTCATTGTGTGGAGGTAGTAAATCAATTTGAGACAGAGCTGAAGACAATGGCAGTGTAAAGACATGTAAGCTTTATCCAGGGTTTATGAATGCTAATGGATAAAAGCCAATTTAGCCTTCAATATGCCAAAGAACCATTTTCACTGTCACAGAGAAAAATACAGTTAAACATATTTCAGGGATTTGGTCTAAAGTCATATTTTATCGCATGATATGGGTTTCAACAGCTCCTGACAGCGTTGACCCTGTCATGAAGAAACAGATGAAAATGAACCAGCTCAGAATAAATGAGCAATTTTAGGTAAAATAAATATTCTTATTTTCAAAAGACAGAATATGCCCATAGCTGAAAGTGACCTATTTGCAAATGAGGAAAATGAGAAAAGTGAAAAAAAAAAAAAAAAATCAGTCCATCACAAAGCAAAGCAGAGACTATCACTTAGGGCAATTTAAGCTAATAACTTAACTTAAAGGTCATCTTTTTGAAAACTGGAAGTAACCTTGAGAACCAAGTGTGCTCTGACATAAGCACCTGTTAACATGCAAACACCGTGCAGAACAATTCAAACCCAGATTCTTGTTGTAAGGCAACACTACTATTATGTTTATATTCTGGGTCTAAAGAAAGGGATATAGGTCAGTATTTACACAGTCAAACTGATGGTGCAACAAACTATGTCTACTGGTAAAAGTTGATTGAGAGCACAAAGTCATATAAACACATTGCTGCAAATTGCCACCAGGCTGCAATGTATTAAAACACAATTATTGAATGAAGGGTTTCAGGCACAGATATATTGGCTTGGCCAGGGTGCCTTTCATACAAGAAAAATCACTGCTTTATTATCTGGTTTACAATTCATTAAAAACCAGATCTCTGCTTGTTTGGTAAAATATATTTTCTTGACTATCAAGGATGTTTTTAGTTTTTCCTCAAGCAACATATATAAGAGTAAGTAGTCTTGTAGTTCAGCTCTAAAGATACAAAGCTTCATCTTCCTAATGTGTTGGATACCTGGGGCAAGATCCATAAATAACAGAAAACCCAAACATTTCTGTTTTCTTACAGAAAAAAAAAATGTATCAAAAGAAATGTACAGTGCTAATGAGCTAACTTCCAACTATTGTTTAAATTACCTACAAACATTTTTCTTCTAGAATTAAGACATTATATGAAGATGTGATAACTAACAAAGTGTAGCTTAATTTATTTATTAGAAGAGCAAAATTGTTTCATTTCTAATTTTTTTTTTAAGGTCTGAGATTTTAGGCTCCAGCCATAGATGCAGTAATGCTCATATGTAAAGATGATGCTACTAAAAGAAAAAAAATTACAATTAAATTATAAAAATTATGTCTTCAGCTTGTACTTTGTTTTTTCTAGAGTATACCAGAATGTTATTTCATATTTTTTCATTCATGTTTAGGACCAAAACATGGATACTACGTGGCTACAAAGAGGAGATACCCGGCATAAAAGCTGGCGAGAATGTTGAACCATTTTCTTCCCTCAGTCCTTGAAGTTTATTGCAATCCCGCTTTTATACTGTATAGGAAGGGTCATTTTGCTAAGGCCGGGGCTTAAAATGATTACAAACAAGGAGGAAATGGGGCTGGTGGCCACATTTTTCTTTCCTTACTGTATATCACAATGCTGATTTTTGTTAGCTCAGCAGTTTATGCTTTGTGATCTAAACATTAAGCTTCTCCTATATACCAGACCTTGCCTACCCCCATCACTGATATATACGTATACAGTAAATTATACGTAATGTGCAATATATACATTTATTATATACACTTACAGGGGTTGGACAATGAAACTGAAACACCTCTCATTTTAGTGTGGCAGGTTTCATGGCTAAATTGGACCAACCTGGTGGCCAATCTTCATTAATTGCACATTGAACCAATAAGAGCAGAGTGTGAAGGTCCAATTAGCAGTGTAAGAGCAGAGCTTTGCTCAAAATATTGCAATGCACACAACATTATGGGTGACATACCAGAGTTCAAAAGAGGACAAATTGTTGGTGCACGTCTTGCTGGCGCATCTATGAGCAAGACAGCAAGTCTTTGTGATGTGTCAAGAGCCACGGTATCCAGGGTAATCTCAGCATAACACCAAGGATGAACCACATCCAACAGGATTAACTGTGGACCGGCTGCCCAAATCATGGCAGAATTAAATGTGCACCTCAACTCTCCTGTTTCCACCAAAAACTGTCCGTCGAGAAATCCACAGGGTCAATATACAGTACACGTCCGGGCTCCTATAGCCAAACCTTTGGTCACTCGTGCCAATGCCAAACGTCAGTTTCAATGGTGCAAAGAGAGCAAATCTTGGGCTGTGGACAATGTGAAACATGTATTGTTCTCTGATGAGTTCACCTTTACTGTTTTCCCCACATCCGGGAGAGTTACTGTGTGGAGAAGCCCCAAAAAAGCGTACCACCCAGACTGTGTTGCATGCCCAGAGTGAAGCATTGGGGTGGATCAGTGATGGTTTGAGCTGCCATATCATGGCATTCCCTTGGCCCCATACTTGTGCTAGGTGGGTGTGTCACTGCCAAGGACTACCGAACCATTCTGGAGGACCATGTGCATCCCATTGTTCAAACATTGTATCCTGAAGGAGGTGCCGTGTATCAGGACGACAATGCACCAATACACACAGCAAGACTGGTGAAAGATTGGTTTGATGAACATGAAAGTGAAGTTGAGCATCTCCCATGGATTGCACAGTCACCAGATCTAAATATTATTGAGCAACTTTGGGGTGTTTTGGAGGAGCTAGTCAGGAAACATTTTCCTCCACCAGCATCACGTCGTGACCTGGCCACTATCCTGCAACAAGAATAGCTTAAAATCCCACTGACCACTGTGTAGGACTTGTGTATGACCTTCCCAAGACAAACTGACGCTGTATTGGCCGCAAAAGGAGGCCCTACACCATACTAATAAATTATTGGCATCTAAAACCAGGTGTTTCAGTTTCATTGTCCAACCCCTATATATTTTGATATTTTTTGTTATTAACAGTGGTAGAGCTTATGTTACCTGGTATTCCTTCAAATTATTTTAGGCAGACTATTTGAAAAGATAACGTCAAGAACATTCCAGATGTCTAATATTAGCAAACTTTATTCTTTCAAGATCAGTTTTGATTTTAGCTTGGTATCAGAGTCCTGCTTTAACAATTAACTGTGTAACAGTTTCATCCACTTGGTTGGTTTAAGACGTAGTTAAATAATATGTACATCTTCACCATTCAGCCATGGTGTTAAACATATTACTGCAGTACCAGTGTTAAAATAGTCCCAGATGCTACTGTAACATCACTTTGACCAACAGTACATTGTTTGCAGGTCTTGAACATTCAACTTGACTCTTCCATAAACACTTTATGTGTCTGTGGCCCCAGATATAGAGAATGGGCTTATGCCTTTTTTTGGGATCCCCTCAGTCTGTAGCATTGACTTTACTGTGGACAGTTGCCATGGTGTTTCATCATGTTTTTCTTTTAGGCAGGGGTGACACATGGTGTCTCTTAAGTTTTCCTTAAATATACTGAACATTGTCTTTTTACTGTATCTGAAGGTCCTGTTAGAAATGGGTTCACATATTTAAAACTTTAGCGGAGGTTGTTGTTTAAAACAATATAGTTCTAAACATCAGTTAATAATGGTGTTAGAAATGGCTAAAGGAAGCAAAAAAGAAGGTAAAAAAAATGGCATTATTAAGCTCCTAAAAAGAATACCACATGGATACTAACTAGAAAGATCTCCTGATTGGAATTCTACCTATTTGTAACTGGTTTCATGAGAACTAAGGTTTAAAAGAAAAAAAACTACAAAAGACAGCAGAATAATAAATCAAAGAACAAAGCTGGATTTCTTGACCCTCGTGTCTGACCTTGTCAAGAAACAATGCATCTTCCAGCTGCCTATGAACACTGCACACCAATGGTGGACTGAACCTTCCTCGGTAAAAAATATATATATATATATTTTTATATATTATATATATATATATACACATATATATACTTACCAGGTTTGCTATGATGTAATGGTATCCTTTAACGTGTTTCCCCACACTGACGGCCTGGGGAAAAAAAGGACATATAAAGCTACTTATCTTTTCTCACTTATACATGTAATGTTAAAAAAATGACTGTTAACTTTAGGGTTAGAGTAGTAAGTTATAAATCATATTTTCTAATTAGGTGTTCTTTTAGGAGCATATCAGTTTGACTATGTTTGCTTGATAAGAAATTATAGTGAGAAAATGTAACTGCAGAGGTGAAGTCCATCTCAGTGAAATAATACACAAATATTAACTTCATTTGCTTTATAGCTTTAAAAGTACCACTAAAAAAACTGGAGAGAGATGGAGAATGAAATAAAAACTTTTGCATTTTGTTATTTAGAGAATCTACAAACTAATAATGTGTCTCATAAACCTTACTAATAAGTTGTATATATTTTTTTACTCCTCTCACCCACACATGTCTGCAGTACTGATAGATGCACACGTGCACATGCACAGATCGCAGCTGGCAGGAACAAGGAAACAGAGCAGTCTCTGTCTCAGAGCAGGGATGCTCGCCAGTGTCTGTACTGCAGTGTTGACGATGAGGGGAGTGTTTGTTTGAACATGTATCCCCGTCTCACTGCATGTTAAAGTTAGTGTGTGTCTGTGTGGCTGTGTTCAGTCACCACTGAGGCCAGTTAAAAAACAGTAGTTCTGTTTGTGTGTTTGACCGAGAAGCTGCTGCCGGTTTGAGTTTGTCCAAAAAAAAAAAAAAACACACAAAAAACTGATATGTGAATCAGTTTTTTGTGTGTTTTTTTTTTTTTTTGTTTACCTAATATTCACATATTAATTAAACAAGAGCCAATCAAAAATGTCAAACAATCATTTATCATAATTTTTAGCAGCAGTGCACTTTTTAATTTGACTTGACAAAAATATAATAAGGTTTCATAACGCTAACTTGCATAGAATTTCTGACTACTCCATCTATTGTGAGTAGCTTCACTTCTTTCTTCTTTTTTCTACTGTGCCTGCGTAAATTCTCAGTCACCCGCGGGTCATGGCAACAACAAAACATATAACATAAACTAATTATTATTACTGTATGTTATATGTTTATTTTATCTTATTATTAGAATTTGCATATTACTTAATACTTTGTTAAATTTTGCATCCCTTCATAAAATATTAAATCAGTTGATTTGATCATGCATAACATGTAGATTGGTTACTTAGAAGCTGAGTAGCTTTTTTTTTACCAATTACTTTATTACGCTTAGTTGAGTATTTTTTTTAAAGGCTACTTTGATCTTTTACTTGAGTATAAATATGATGAAGTAGTGCTATACTTGTTCAAGTACAATTTTTGAGATACTCTACCCAACTCTGGAAAACGTATCCTGTGCCTTAACTTTGCACTGGGTATCTAAAAGAGGCTGCTGTATTATAAATATGTAACTTTGGTACAGACCACATATGCAGCTGGTAAAGCTGGCAGAATATATAATTTTTTTGTTTTCGTTTTACAGTTTAGTCAGTTTGGTTTGTCATCATTCTGTGTCGTTTTAGATCAAATACTGTAAAACTCTTTCATGTTCCATATTTTTTTTCGTATTGTCTTTTAAAGATGAATACTGATGTTAGGAAATTAGACTTCACATCAACACAAATTAATTAAGCTGCAGAAAAAAAGTTTCAGCTGCGTTTTTGGCATCAGACTGGTATAACTCTGGCTGATGGCATTTCAGTGATCTAGTAGGTAGGTGTCTGGTTTTGATTCATTAATGTTTTATTGTAGGTTTGTGTTCATGTGCTTTCGCAATACTGTGGTGCAGTCATGTCAACAAAGTAACTTATATTAAAACGTTTTTCAATGTGTCTGCATGCTAAAGGCTATCAGGAAAAAAACAACAACAGGAAGCTGACAGAAACTCTGAAGACGAGTTACAATCGGTACAGTTACAAGTCATTATTTGAGGTTCTTTTGTTTTTTTTTATTTCTTTTAGTTTGCTCTTTTTTCTTTGTTATTTATTGTGGTTTTTAAGTGTATTTGGTTTACTTTTAGTTTTTGAGCTCATTATTTATGCTTGGATGTTTTTTTTCTTGTTAGTTTGAATTTCTTTACTGGGAAATTGTTGTGCTTTGGTCTTGCCAAAACTGTTTTAAGTTTTGCTGTTTTTGTTTTGCCATATCATATACTCCAATCTAGTGTGTGGATGTGACTGGCCACATAGTTTTCCCGTCATCGGTGGTACACTTTACAGTTAAACATTTTATACTGTCCATGCAGTATATAATAAGTGCTCCGAGGCATTTGCTACCTTTTTGAATACAAACTTCTTACATAACTTCTCTGTCATTTGTAATAAATGTGCCTTTTTTTCTTTGAAGTATGTGCAGTCAGTTGTTCATTCAATTCCCTGAGGGTGGGTGGGTGAAGCATTTGTGGACAAAAGTGGAGCTCACCAAGAGTATCATTCATGCTAAAACTGCCACTGCAAACCACCTTTTAGTCTGCGATAAAACTGAATTAAAAAAATAAATAATTTCTAAAAATATTAAAATGCTTTTATACTCTTCTAGGCTAATTGTGGAAGATGGTCGGGTGATCTGAAATTGCCTTAGCAATAATTCATCCTTACATGTCATTTTATTAATATAAACATGCCAGTGGGGTAAAGAAAACAACTCCTGCGCTGTACTTTTGCCAAATGCATCTTGTAGTGTAATTTTAATCGCATTATGCATTGCGGAAGAAGAACTATGCAAATTCCTTTTGATCCTTCTTTGAAAAACATTTTAATGACCTTTCTATGTATTTTCTGAAATACTGGTAAAACACTTCATTCTTCAAATACTCCAGACCACATATTATTATTATGCCTATTTTTTTTCCTGTTCTTTATTTTTGAAGGACTGTGGTTTAGTCCTAAAGTACAACAGACGATGAATATTAGCAAATAAGATTTGGCTTTCCAAAGAGGAAAAAGGCCTCCTGCTGTGCACAATCAAATAAAAGTCAGGAATAACCATTTTTTCAAGCAGCTTTTTTTATCCAATTTATTCTTTTTCTGATTTGGGCATGTAATGGGGTTTTTCATAAATTAGGTTTTTATGTAAATGTGTGCGTTTGAAGGGTATCTGCTTGCATGTGTCACTGGGTTTGTCAGATGTGCATACACGGGATCAGATGTGATGACAGGTGGCAGAACCGATGGGATGTCACACTCCAAGCTGAAGTGAAGGACTCTCAAACACACAGTTACGCCACCTGTCACAACGCAAGGCTCAACCATAAAGAGAGACGGATAATCTAATGAACTCAGACAAGCATAAGGTGTCCGAGTGCATTCTCTAATGTCATGTATGCATATGTGTGTGCTGTGTGTGCACTCTAAATTGCAGTGTGAGTGGATAGCATCGTTGTTGCTTAAAACACACACTAATGTAGCCACTATGGAAGCCACATCTCTTACTCTTCAATATGAACTCCAAGGAAAACACAATCATTTTTATCCTTTCCAGATGTCAGAAAGCATCTGGAGTGCTGATAAAACTAGCTGAGTGGAGCAGACAGATGCCTCAGAGAACACCAGCAGTAAAGTGAGAAGAATATTATTTATATAATCTCACAATAATTAGCTGTGCTTCTGTTAGAAAAAATATTCTCACACTACCTGACTTCTGTAATGCTACACATGTTTTTCAATGGTTTAAGCAGAAAGTTTCACCACATCATTAAAAGTTAAGTGCTGCTGAAGTCCAGGTCAGCTATGAAATCTCTATGAAATCTCTGCAATGCTTCCATAGCTCAGTGATAGTAACAGTGCCACATAAAAATACAGTGTGGCATTTACAAAAGCTGTATCCTGTAAAAAAAAAAAAACTTCCTTCTGTGCCTACGGTCATAAAACAGTGTCATTTTTTTCACCTTGTGCAACAGTTACTACAATTTAAAAAATCACTAAAATTCGGTTGTAAGCATGTTTAAGATTTATATACAGGCTGATTTTTTTTATTTACTTTAAAGTGTATATACCCTTACTGTAGCTTTACATTAATGTTCTTTATTAGCAAGAGATAGGTAAAACCTATTCAGGATGAAGATATCCTCATTGGATCTACACATTGAAGTAATACAGTAGGGTGCAGTGTTGTTGATAGAAATCTGTTTGGAGCCTCTACCAAAGGTCTGGGAGCTTATGGGTCCCTTGATGAATCTTTGCTATTTTTGGGACTGCACTATTGCTACCAAGATCCCTATATGTACTCCAATGACAACTGGGAGTGCTGTTGGCCCCACCTGCGAAGCTCTCTCTAAAGCCCTTCCCTGAGAACACAGTAATTCTCTAATTTCTTGTCTGTTTTCCTGGATGTTTCCATTGCCTGTGAATGGCTGCATCCATCACAGCTGGTTTCTTCTGCTTTTTATTAAGCTAACAGTTTCCTGCTGGTTGGCTATAACCATTTGTTGATTTGTATTTGGGATCTTATATATAGATGTATTATAGTTTTATAGAATATTGCTATCTGACATTAAGGACATTTGACAGAGTCAACGTTTTAAAACTAGAGATTCAGTACCAACTCTCATAGTTTGCAGTGATACCATAGCATTATGCTAACAGTGATTCTGCATTGCACAAATTAGAAAAAGAGCTACCCCTAAATTGACCTGAGACACAACCAACTACTTCAAACTTCAGTTTCATTTGAAACTAATGACCTATTTATATAACCCGTCCTTGGCAGAAAAAAATTCAATCTAAATGAGCAATACTGTTTCAAAAAGCTCAAAAAGCAGTGATCAGTGAGCAGTGATGGTTTTTTAAGCTCTGCAAGAAGCAGTTTTTAACATACCTGTTCAAGGATGCTCTGTAGTCTCTCAGGCTCCAAGTCTATCACATATTTTCTCTCCTGACGTCGGTCCAGGTCTTCTAAGAGTCGGCGGTATGCTGCTTCATTGAAACTCTCCACACAGATTGCGCTCACCTATTATTACACATATTTGCAGCATCCATATAAACTTAAGGATCATATGAGGGTAGGGACAAACAAGACGATGATGCATATTTTTTTAATGACAGTGTAGTGTTCATTCTCTATGAGATGATCTTGCATAAGATGTATGCTTTTTGTCAGGTTCCCAAGGATCTCTGTGTTTGAGTGTGTGTCCTGACCTGCCATGCATTCTGCCCCGCTCTCTCCATAATTGCCTGCAGTATTGCATAACCTAAACAACAGAGAATTGGGAGCAAAGGGAGACAAAGGAAGAATTAATGCTGATCCATGGAAGATGCAGTAGATTGGAAGCTGAGTAGATATATTTCGCAATCTGTCCTTGCGATCTGATATGATAAACAGCTTTCTAGGTGAGGCCAACGTTTTACACTACATTCAATTATCAAAACAAAATGTAATTTCAAAGTGGAAGTTACTTTCCACTTTTCAGGGTTTAACCTTATATTTCTCATGGAAATGGACACAAGCAGAGACTGTACTTCTTAAAGTACCTTGAAAATGACCTGCTAGTCATCGCCTAAACCTTTTTTATCTAATTTGTTAGGTGAACATCCATTTCTGTGTGGTTTAGCTTAACTTCAAAACAGGACCGGTCAAGATTGCAATGAACAAAAGTACCTGCAGAGAAGATTGAGACAAACACCCTCTTTCCCCACCCTAGACTAGGGCCAAACCAAAGAAAACTAACATATCTGCTGACCTGACATATCCTGGCCTAAGGATGTTCAAACTTCTTTTCAAGGAAGCGTTATAGCAAGCTAATGGCAAAACTAAAACGACACGGAGGCATTTTATTTCCCTAGACAGTATTTCCGTTGAACCCAAAGAACACAGACACTCTGCTAGAAAAATAACAGGCTTTTGCATTTCTGCAACTTGCTTTCTTGTTTTTTTTTTTTATTTTTTTTGCTTTCTTGTTTTTTTTTATTAATTTACACACAAAAAATTATACAGTTATACATCCTGTTTTTGATCATTTCCTTTACAACCTTTAAGTCTGATTTTTACAGTGCGCATGCTGCTTTTATTGTTTAGTTTTGTTCCTTGCTTGTGAACAAAACTTGCAGATTAAACACAATATGGTTTTTAAATTTTTCTTAAAATAATTGTTTTTCTTTGCATTACAGCTAAGTTTTTTGTGTCCTTTTATTATTGAGATAAGATGTATTGAATAGTTTCAGACCCAGATAGAGACTAGACATTCTTGGTGTCCTATTAATACAAAAAATTACTTGGAAAGATAAAAAAAAGCAGAACGTCTATTTTTTTGGAAGACAGTGTGGTAAGGTATTGAACATAATATAGGACACTAAATATTGTGTCTGTCAAAGACCTTTGGTGTTAAAAAGAGGCTATGGACAAAGATAAGTCCACCTTGCAAGTTGTTAACATTCTTTAACTGTTTTTTTTTTAAATCAAAATCTTAAACTTAAAGTGTGAGTTATAAATTAATTACGAATAACTTATGAAGTGGATAGAGGAGGATAGATGGTGTTGAAAAGGTTTTATGAACAAGAATCTATGTGGCATGTATTTTTATATAGGGTTAATACTTTGGCATTGTAGGTGTATTAGATCACACCATGTTTGCTGTACTCTGAGGCCTTTATTGAACAGCTACATTTATACTAAGATTAAATACAAACAGATGGATGGCATTTATTCATTAGGTGACTTGTGATAGTTCTCTCTTGCACTAGATATTGCTGTGTGGCTTAAAAGTAAAAAAGGCTCAATACTGATGCATCAATGTATTCTATTATTTAAATGCTTGTGCAAAACCATTAATAATCCCACTTTCACCACAGAATATCAAACAGCTTTATGTTTGTTTGTCTCATAAAATCCCCCAGAACTACATCTTGCTCAGGTTTATGGTTGTAATGTAACAAAACATTTAAGTTGTATGAAAAATTTTGCAAGGTGATAGATTTGCTGTAATATAGAACAGAATTGTAAAAGTAAAGTCAACAACAAATAATAATAAAAAAAAACACCTGTGCTGTTTACTCCTGACATAAAGCATCCACTCTACACTGCCTTTTTTTCCAGATCCTCAATTGTGCATTTGAAATACCAATACTGAGGTTGAAAGAGTAAAATAAAAGTTTGTTAAGAGCAGATTTTTGGGTGTATTATGAGCCAACATAAATATATTTTCTCTGGAATAATGCTGAAATTGGTCTATATGCATCCATTAGCTTAAAGTAAGTCTATAAACACTTTGATGTGTGTCTGCATTTGTGTGTAAGCAATACATTTGTCTTTGCATGCAATTATGTGGACACATGGATATTTGTGTGGGAAAGAGTGTGTCAGCAGGCTATCAGTGGAGCAAGCAAGAGCAGGGGGACATAAAACAGATAACAGCGTTACTGCCCATTTTCCAGCACATTACCAGCAGCAGTGCCTGATGGGTGCCTATAATGAAGGGCCCTGCCTTGGCCGAGTCATGGGTGAATACAGTCCAAACTCTGGCCATCTATCCTTTTCTCTGTTTCTCTCTCTTTTCTCTCGTCTATCAAACCTTACCCTCTTCCTTCTACCACGCATCCCCTGTGGCTTGTGATCCTGTCTGTTCTTTTACTCTTCTTGTTTGCCCTTTCTGTCATCTCTCCCCTCCCCTCCCTTCACTCACCAACCACACACCCACCTCCACATTTTACCTTCACCATCACCTCGTGTATCTCCTACCTCATGACTCACATGTTTTCCATCATTTTGGCTGCCCCAACTTGATTCATTCCCATGTTCCTTTCTCTGTCTACTCCCCTGGGTAGTAACCCAGACAACCTGGACCACATGGATGTTGGCTGAGGCACAGACAGAGCCCACACATCTTCACACACTTTGCAGCTTTGTCATACCCCTAACACACAACAATACAGTTGTCTGTGGGGATGTTACATAGTGTTTGACCTGTGTTTCTCTCCCTGTGGTGGGGAATTTATCTGTGTGCAAATGCATGTGTGTGCAAAAGAGAGAAAATGTTCCAAGGATTCCCATGACAATGGCATATGGCTAGGGGCATAATCTGTTCCTTCTCCACTAACTTATTCACACTTCACGACTTCATGGTTAAATTAAAGGCAGGTGAATGCTCAAGGAACTGGGGGCAAACTCTCACTTCTTGCTGAAATGAGATGAATTACATTCTTATTTCTGTAGCTTTAGTAGAGTTATATCCATTAGCCGAACTTCTCATGAACCTTTCATGAAATTTGAATATAACTCAGGTTAAATTAGAGGCTTTAAAAGGCCTTTCATTTTGGACATTTGACACAGAAATTATTCTAAATTTTCAAATCCAAACAGATTCCTCCAAATCGGCCAATTGGTGGCGTCACACCGATCTCCCAGCTGAGCATTTGAGTGGGAGCAGAGTAATAAAACACAATACCTACTCAGATCTAACAATTACAGCAGTGCCTAAAATTAAGCACTGAAACTACAGTCATTTGGAGGCTTTTAAATCAAAGTGGTGCTCCAAGGGTTTTCAAACCGTATGAAATGAGGAGCTACAAACTTTTCAAACAATATACCCTAAATTGGATGTTAAATATGGTTTCTAATGTGCAAGATAAAGGTTATGATTTGCAGTGAACTGCCATATTCAAACAAAAATTATGCTTTATTGTATCATCTGACTTATGTGAAGAGACGTTTGTTTTACAACAAAAAAAAGCTGTTCTTTAAGGGCCTCAGAGTTTGTAAATAACATTTTGATGGTGAGGAAACCCAACAGACAGTTCAAGGATAAAGTTATGAGATATAATGCAGGGCTATTCTATAACACAGCATCATGTGTTTTTAACTACTTAATCTCTTATCTGCACAGTACAATTGTAAATCCTCTAAGATATCTATCTGTGACTGAACTTCAAAGTTGTGCTTTCTATAAATCCGAACCTTGGTTCACAGTTTGACAGAAGCCATGTTCAGGACACCACAAACCTCTGGAAAAGACGAATCTGGTTGGACAAGAAAAGCTAGTGGCAGCATCATGCTTTGTGCCTTGTTTTTTTTCTTTGTTTGTTTTATTGTAGCAAGTAAAAGGACAAGTCCTGACCAAACTTTTATTTGAATCTGTGCCTTCAAAATTTCAGTTCAAGGATGTTCTAGATCAACTCTGACTGAGATTAAGCAAAGAAAATGGTTTAAAATTTATCTTGAGTTTTATGGTTTTAATCTGAGGAAATATGGAAATTATTTAAGTAGTATTTCTAATTTTGCATCCAATACAGTTTGTTTGGACATACTTTAATAATAGAGGAAAGGTTTCTGATTTTCCTCACAAGACAGTTTTTTGTAATGTTTAAATGTACATATAGATGTATAAGCAAATCATACTACAAAGCTAAAATGTTGAAAATACTAAAAAAAAGATCAAGATTTAACTTCTGTAACATCTGTCAATAATCTCTTTATTGAACAAACGTTAATAGCAATAATTAAGAATAAAAAAAAAAAATGTTGGCTTTGTATGAATCCTTGTTAAACATGTCCCTTTGTACTTACCTCTGTCTGTATCATATAGGAAGACGAATTTGTTCCAGTCATAGTGGTCAAGCAGGGACAGTAGGGCTCCTCTGATGGACGGCCGGAGCTGCAGCGTGAACTGTCCCTCGCCCTCAGTGGGGAAGCTGGGCGTCACCAGACTGATGTGCAGGGCTCCACAGAACGACGTCAGCGTGTTCACAGAACGCTTGTCGTAAAGGCCAAAAATGGCAAAAACTCCCCTCGAATACTGTGAACAGACTGATGTGATGAAAAGAGGAAGCAGGGAAGGACATGGGGATCAAGATGGGAAATTGGTTGAAAGTGGAGGAAAATGAGAAAAAATTAAGAGCTGAAATTTAATGTTTGCTTGTAGTCATTTACAAACCTGTATTATTAATTATTACACACACACACACACACACGTATAAGTATACATACATATATATGCAAAACTTTTTAAAACCTGACTTTGCAAATCAGTTCTACAGTTCTACAAAAAAACCAAGAGAGGAAGAATTTCAGAACACACGGGTCTTAATTAAATTCGCTCTGTGGAATATGTTTAAATATGCCAACCATTTTAATGAGCTACTACTTGAGCTAGTGTCAGCCCTACACTACCTCCTCTTTCCTAATTAGACCCACAAACTGCATATTTTTAATAGTGTATGTGCCTGAAATTCAAAAGTACTTTTTTAACCTCAACAGAAGTTGAAACAGCATCAATCAAATTTACCTCAGAAACAGATAAAAAGAATTCATGGCACCAGTAGACGAATCTTGTCTGTCTCGCAGCATCATGTACCGATAAACATTTGGAAGTCCCCAGTACCAAAATAAAACAAAGAAAAGAACTGACTGACTGACCTAGCAGTATTTGCATTCATTAAATAAATGACATCAAAATATCCTGACCTGCTAAAAAGTAGATTACAGCCATTGACAGAGCAACCAGCACATTCCAAGGATGCAGTTACTGTATTTGCCATGACACTACATGTGAAGTAAGGGAGTTAAGAATGTTTAACCTTGGTTATTTTAATGTAAAATTGTCAGATCATAGAAAAGGGTCTGAAATGGTGTTTACTTTTTTATGATGTCCATCTTACAGTAAGTGCTCATCCTCTTTTTGGTATCCCTTTCTTTAGCCACACTCGTCCTTGCAGTGAGATACTTTCAAGTAGGCTTTTTATTGCACTCTGACTCTTCTGCGTCATAATTCACTCTCCTTCTTGAGCTACGTCATCAAGGAGTAAACACTAAGACTGAGCCTTTGCTTTAGCAGCTTCACATGACTCCGAAAGCTTTTTTTGTCATCATTCTTTTTTTAATCTTTTCATGCATTGCATCATCTGTATCCCTGGACCCTTTCTCTAGTTTTTTCAAGGCAGACTCCCTTCATCCTTCAGCTTCAACCATCCACTCTCTCTCATCTCTTCCCCCCTTCTGCATTTATGACTGCCTACACTCCCTCCTTCTTCTTTTCCTTCTCCTCCTGGGACTGAGAGTAATTCCATTATCAGCTATAAGCCTCAGTGGGGTAAACACTGAGGGAAATGCAGCTTTGCCGGTTCGCCTTGTGGCAATTAAACAAAGCCATGGCCTCTGCACCCGGCCAGCGATAAGGCAGGGATTTAGTCTTAGATTATGACAGGAGCTAAATGTCTTCAATTCAGAGAACTCGCATAGGAGCTGTACTGTGCTTGCGTCATTCAGCTGCCGCTGAGTCATGCCATCCTAGGCAAATTTTTTTTGTTGCGATTTACATAGACTCAGCATGTTTTTACATTTCTTATCTTAAGAAGGACAGGTAAAGAGATGAGACTGAAAGGTGTTAATCTTTCACTGATGAACCAGCAAAGTATCGTCACTAAGTTACTTGCCTATTTTGAACTAAACCACTGGAGAATTAAATTTTAATACTCTCAATAAAATAAATAAAGAAATAAGTCTATAATTAATATGGCAGTGAACAGGGATTAAAGCTGACATCAAGCAGGGAAATATGATTAAACCAGTTGGGAAAAATTGCACGGCTTTATCTTTGATAGCAGCCATCTGATAAACACATTTCAGGAAGATATTAGAAATATAAAAGTAAAGACAAAATAAAATCAATTAATACGAACCGGCTAACACAAATAGCCAGTCTCATTACTAGGGATAGGAATTTAAATCCTGTTCCTGTTCAGAACCGGTTCTGTGTGTTCCAGTTTCATGGCACCATTTGGTAGCTCACTTAATGATTGTCTTAACGGTTCCAGGCAGCACCAGAGCCTAGCTCTGGGCAGCATGACTTACGTCACGTTTTTTACGGAAGTTACGCTAACGGTATTCAGTAAGCAAGTGACCAGGCATAAGTCTTGAAAAGCAAAACATAAAAAATGGTGTCCCATCGGGTAAAGCGATCGAAAGTTTGGCTTCATTTTAAGGAAGAGAAAGATGGCAACAAGGCGCTTTGCAATCATTGCAAAGTGGCAATTACATACGTGGGAGGAAATACATCCAATATGCAGAAACACCTGTGCACACAACAGGGCATACATTTGAACGAATGCCGTGTTTTTGATGATTCTGGACAGAAGCTAAAGTTATGACCAGCATGGAAGGCAACTCTGGTGGTAAAAAGCTAGTTTTATATCACTGGATGTGCTTAATGTGGTTCTTAGTAAATCATATGCCATTTCTGAAAATAAACCAATTTCCTACCCCTCTTTGGGGTTATTGAACATGCTACGTAGTTGCTCCGCAGTTCAGGGAGCGAGAGAAAGGCAACGATCGTTTATTTAAATCAGGGGGGAGATAAGTTTATTTCCTGAAATTTTACATTAATGCTTTTTCTTTCAATGGATGCCTTCTCCATTAGATTTAGATGACTGTGATGGGTAGCCTGACTGGCTTAGAGGCTGGCAGCTCCCGTTCACTGCCTTCTGTTTTCTCTGAGGCAGGCGTAAATAGAATGTCCCAGGTAAAGGTAGACAAATGTAACCGTGCACTTATCAAGTTCATTCTTTCACAGAATCAATACGAGAATCGATAAGGAATCGAATCGTCTCACAGAACCAACAAGGGAATCGGAATTATGAAAACCTTATCAATTCCCAACCCTTCTCATGACCCCAAATCACTCGGTCCAGTCACCAGTTTTCAGGAGGATTTATTTATCTTTAACCTTTATTCTGACAGTTACTTTTAGCAGGAAAATTGAGTTCACAAAGCTCAAACTGGACTGATTTACTTTAATTACTGATTTACTTTAATGGCCAACACAACCACTATGCTCCAACATAGCACCTTGATGATACAGTGATACTGGAAATCTAATTCAAGAATATGCTGTAAACAAATATGCAGACACTAAAAAATAGGAAAAAATAAAATTTACTGAGGAATATTTTCTAAAGTCTGTGCCATGAAGAGAGCAGCTCTGGACGCAAAATGCAACACCAACCTAGTACTACAAAGGTGTAATCAAATACAGGTATGGTAAGCATATGCAAGGAGGTAACTGACAACAGTGTGTATAGGTCTAAAAACAATCAAAATAAAACTGAATTAAATCCTGGATAAGTTTTGTCAGCATTTAGCAATTTTCTGTTCCAGTTAGTTATTATATTCTATGGCCGGAGCAACTCTCACTTCCTTCCTTGGATTTTTAAATAGTGAAGTTGATTTTATTTGGTATTTAGTGCTGTTGTAATTAATGACTTTTGTGTTTCCACTGATAAGCTAAAGCTGAAAAGAAGATTTACTTAAAAGCCTTTTGATCTAGAGAGAGAGGTACCTCAATTACGGTCCATGAGGTTGTGTCCTGCATCTTTTATATCCATCTCCGCTTCCACAAACCTGAATTAATTGGCTAAATAACCTCCTCAGCTTGTGGTCAAGTTCTTCAGGGTCCTGCTAATGACCCGAGTAGTTGAATCAGGTGTGTTGAAGAAGACGGACATGTAAAAGATGCAGGACATTGAAATCTCAAGGACAGGAATAGAGGAACCCTGCTAAGGAGGTAAGTGTAAAAAAAAATCTTTAATGACAAATAAATTAAACAAAAGGAACTTCTCTGATCACCACCCAAGTAGAATGAACTAAGGAAAAGATCTTTGACTTGTTTTAGCACAAGTTTTAAAACATCTAGTTTGTTTTATTGTTTTTTTGTTTTTTATTAAAAACATTAAACATAAAAAAAAACAATTGTATCTTGACTGATAGCATAAAGGAACATTTCATAAATTATTTCAGTAATTTATATTAAACAACTTATACTTGATAACTGAATTGCCATGATCTTGGTGCTGATGAGTGGCTTAATTACTCTTTTCATTCACCTGCTTATCTCCGTCCGTTTCCTCATCACCGCTTATCTTATCCACTTGTTCCTGCCTCTATTTAACCTGCCTGTTTTCAGTCATGAGAGAACATTATTCACGAGCCAGTGGTGAGGGGAAGTCAGCGTTACCTTAGTGTTTCTGATTACCTATTCTGCCTCTCAACCACTGAGCCTCCCTTTATCCATCTAATCTGTTTGCCTGACTATGGAATCCTGCTGGATTTTGCCTGTTAGCTGAACTTGCAGCCGTTTCCAGTTACCGGCCTGGATTTCCCTCTGGAACCTCTTTGGACTTCTGTTCTCCAGGTTCTGTATCCTGACCACATCCTCGACACTGCCTTTGGCTTTGCACTCTGGAATTTTCCTGCCTTCATCTGCTCAGGTCTGATCTCCTGCTTGTTTTCCATCCTCTGGGTCTGCAGCATCTGAGACCCTATGAGTGGCGCCCACCACATTTTGTTGTCAGCTGACTGGCTGGAATCAACAATGTTCTCCAGGCACAGATAGATCTATTAAACCAGGTTTGTGACTCATTTTCATAACCTTCCTCCGCCAGATTTACATGGTCACTAACCTTTGTTTTTTTTCTCTCTGCAGAGGTTCCTGCCTTAGATGCCCACAATCCAAAATTAGGGGAAGGGAATGCACCTGGAGTGCACCTGATGTGCAAACTAATTCAACATCAAATATGACTTTCTGCCACAAACACAGCAACTAGTGCATCTAATTAACTGTCTTAAGAGCTTTTGAGTATCATGTAAAGCTCAGCTGACTGAACAAGAACTGCAAGTTAATGGTAACATTGGTACGGTATTTTGCAAAAACACTGGAAACTGTACAATGAATAACCATTGAAATTGTAGCAAAAGGGAGCTTTAAAAATTTAACGCTATCAGTGAAGAAATGGCAGTTTGACCTTTTCTTAAAA